ATATATATATATATATATATTGCAGGAAATATTTGAAATCGATAGGATTAATTACGAAAAAGAATTGGACCATATTCAAAGCTTACTGAAAAAAAAGAAGTCACATTAATTTAAAACCAACACGATTGAACTCTTTCTGTAGTCTTTGCTTCGTATCGATACTCCCTGTTATCTCTATTATCGAAAATATCGACGAATGGTATATACATATGACTGTTCCAATTTTTTCCAATCTTCTTTTCCAAGATTCATTTTATGAATATATAAATAAGAAATATTATACAAATGAAAATTATTTAAAGCTTTATCAATAATCTCGAAGAGAATAATGCCTTAATGTAGAAAGGAGAAAAAGTAGGTCGTGAAGATCGTAAGAATTTCAAACATCATTGAGGTTTCCTCGCATCTTAAATGATGCACATTCAAATGTTATATATCCAAGGAACAGATACGGATTTGAAACGAAATACGGTTTTAAAAATATATTTATTCTTATTTCCAAACTGATATGCATAAGAAATCTGTTTATCCTCTTCTTTTGATATATTTTCATATTCGATGAATTTTCAATAATACTTTTTATCAAAACTAGGCTAGATTTCATTATATGCAAGATGAAGCATTCTTATGAATAGATAGAAGTATTCTCAAAAAGATATCAATATAAAAGGTTTAATATAATATAAGAAAATATTATTCTTTGATGTAAGAGTCATTCAAATGGATTCCATTATAATTATATCATTTAAATTCTTCAATTACTGAGAAAATATATTCTTGATTTTTAAATTTCTATTCAATATTTCTTCAATTGTTTATTCCATGCAAAAATAAATATATCATTAGATTCATTTTTTTATAAAGACACTTTATTACAAGGTTCATTATCTTGCACAAAATGATGTCCAAAATCTTATCTGATCAATGATTATTGTTAAATCATAAAGAAAATATGTATTCAATGTAATAGTTCAGTTCACCAATTGATTCTTATGTAGCTCGTGTATTTTAAACCATTCTAATATTCAAAGAAACGGATATTGATAATTCAAGCACGATATTATAAAATTACAAGCATAATTAACACCAGAAATCATCACATTGAATATTTTCACTCTATCATCGATTTATCACACGCATATCCCAACCGGAAAATTAACTCGAATTACGGTATAATTAATCGAAGGAAATTGCAATTATATATTACGGATGATGCACGATTTCAATAAAGTACCTAGTCATTTATGTAAACGAGCATAGATCCCGATGATTTCTGATCCGAACGTTTATTCGTCGCGCCCTTTGCGCACGATGAAACAAATTTATCATTATGAACACGAGATTAAAACATATTGCCGTTAATATCGAACAAGTAAATTTGTCGTTGCGTTTAAACACGGCTTTATGAAGGACGTGTTCGCGATATTCGATGGCACGTCGCGAAATATGCAATCACACACCAATAAATTACGTGTTTTGATAATGTGACATCGTTGGTTCTAAAAATGATGTGTCGATATAATTTGCGATAATACATCGCATCAAAGGATCGTATAATTGTCAATAAAACGATTCTAAAAAAATAGAAAAGTAACGAGGAATGAAAATATATTAAAATATATTACCAGGAAATCGATATTTTTGACGGTGAAATTTTATCATTGCTTCGATTAATCTTGTTTTATCGTATTCTTGTCTATTCATCTTATCTATATGTAAACTTTCATATAATTTATGAACAGATAAAGATCAAAGTGACTTTAAAATCAATAGAAAATGTAGAATAATTTGGAGTAAATTAGAATTAGAATTCCTATTAAAATATTGCTTGAAACATTGAAGAGATTTTCGAAGAGATTCAAATTATAACGAGTACTCCCAGTTACTATTCACAATACAGCAGATTATTTTTGATTAATTGCTTTAAAATCCATCGATGTATCTTGTCACTGAGATTCAAATCTTGAGATAATTGATGAGAAGATGTATATATATCTGAAAGTATAAATTTTAGTAAGAGATAATCGATTAGAGGGGACGAAAATATCGCTTATATTTTAATCAATATAACAAATAAGCTTTCAAGGAAGCACTCAGATTAAAAAAAAATGTAAAAAATAAAACCATGTCACTTCCTTATATACCTCAATTATATTTATTGAATCGAGGAAGCTTCGAATCATTTTGTCAATCCAAAATTCCCTCGTTTTTCCTATAAATTAATACATTTTTGATCAAGTATCAAGAATTACTTTTTCACAGTATTTTTCTTAGATTAAGCTCGAATCGAATCTTATCGTAAAGTGAGCGGGTCGTCTGAATGACGCGTTAGTACTCACTGTTGCAGACGGTGGTGGAAGTATGTCACAAGAAGAGGCAGTGCAAGTTCAACACCAGTCCGAAAACCTTTCAGGGCGATCCGTGTCCTGGATTGCCGAAATACATCGAGGTCGCCTATCAATGCCGTCCTTGTAAGTAATCTTTTTTCTCTTCTTACTTTTTCTATAAATTTGGATTACTTTTTCTTTTCTTATCTTTCTCCAATACTATGATACTTTATTTATTTTCATTCGTTTTACATCTTTCTTGATCCAAATTGTATGATATATTATATATTGTAACGTCATGACAATAGGTGTAACGACATCTTCAAAGCTTTCAACGGTATTCACGATTTAAGATATATGATCGATACACTTATATCCGTGCATGCGCTATTTATTTCAATAAGGAAGAAAGTGCACTCAACGCTCGCTCGATGCATTGAAATGATACACACTTCGCTTACAAAAAGATTCAATTTGCGAAGAAACTCACATTGTTGTGGTGAAAGCGTGAGAATGAATTTAACCACGTAAGAAGAAAGAATTGATTTTGTTCTCGATAGTTAATTTAATTTCGACAATCAATATTCTACTGTATTATATAATTTATATAAAAATTTCAAACGTAGAAATCTATTATAAATTGTCTTTTGAAAAATTATTCTTAAGCAAAAAATAAACAATAATAAAAAATATATTATAAAAATAATAAAAATTTTATCGACACATATGATCTTTCAATGTGTGAAATTCACAATACGTCTTTATTTATCTTTAATTCGCACAATTCATCGGTCGAGATGCTCTCACGCTGCACAAAAAATCTCGAAAAAGCTTGAACCGATGACGAACATAGCGAAAAAGTATTACTGTAAGAATGGTCAAGAGCATTCGCGCGAACGTAACTGAAGACCCGTTTTCAGGAAGAGGTCGTTTCTCCTCGTAGCACTTATCGATGCCGTTTTTACGGCCACGTCGAACATTAGCCCAGTTGAACGTGAAAAGCACGGATATCGATGTAGCTTCGGAAGATTCTTTGCCCGTATTACGAGAAAATGCTGGAAAATGGAGAAAAATTCTGGCCGCTCGTTCCGTTGATGAACGTCCTCGTTTTCGATCGTGGTTTGTCTTGGGAAATGTACTCGTGAACGTAATAGAATGTTAAAATGTTCTTCCATTTTTTGTCTTAGGTACGATGAAAAGTATTACATCTTACACGAGTTCAATAAGAATTAATTAGTTAGCGAAACCAATTAGATTCTTTTGTCTTTTTTGCATTATGGATTGTGGAAAAGCGATTTCTTTCGTGATCTGCGATAAAATGGCGAAACAATTATAACGAGCAAGAGAATAATGCGAAGAGGATAATTCGTCGTAGAAATTTAATGCAAGTTGCGGTTTCATTCAAGATTTGAGTAAATGCTGCATAAATACAATACGTATTCCTTCAACTTTGAATCATACTATCTACAACTTGCTAAAAGTTATCTCGTCTTGATTAAGTTACGCATAACTTTGATGCAATTCAAATATTACAACGTTCCATTAAACATTTGGTTAAACGTTTCTCGTTTTACGTATAATAACGATAAGTTTCGTGTTTTAATATACATATTTCGCTATTTGAGATGGAATATTGTAATATTAATGTTTCATGAAATATGAGCAGTTATATGAAAGTTAAACGTGAAATAAAGGATATAGAATACGCGATGTATTATGAATTATGACACACGATATGGAGAACTTTCTTCTATCCTTTTCATATTTTGTTAAAATATATAGAATTTCTTTTCAAAATATATATTTTTATAATAAATTTGTTAAAAATATAGTAGAGTGATTAAATTTAACTTATTAGATTGGTATTTTTGATAAATACCAATTTCGATTCGTTGTGAAAATATATAATATAAATGAAATATTCTATAATGTTTGGAATTTCTTCTCAAGGTATGTTGCTACGGAATTTGTAACAAATTTACATGTATTATAATTGATCTCAGTAAATATAGGAATTTTGAATACACGTTATTAGAGATTTTAGAATTTCGCGCGGTATGTAGCTTTATTGAATTTCGCCTTTCACCATTGAATAACTTGAATCGGCAACTTTATTAAATTGTATGGAATTTTGAAATACTAACCGATCGGCATTACTTGCATTCATCAATATCTCGCATATCCCTTTTTTTTAATATAACCTTTTATTTCATTTTCCACAATTTATATTACGGAAAGATTAAAAGATCAATATCAAAACTGGAAGAAAACGAAAAAAAGATTCAATTTAACTTCTCTATTCTATAATTTCATCCTCTTTCTTCTTAATTCAAAATACAATTATATTCCACAATTTCACTCTCTCACCAAATCTTTTCATTTCATCAAAGTACAATCAACTTTTGCATTCCACAATTCCATTATCCAATCATGTTTTTTCCTTCCTAATTCACCAAAAATTCCTCTTCGTTCTTATTTGATCCATTTTAATCAAAACTCTAGTAATCAACGAGCAAAAACTCCTTCCATCCGGATATCGTTAATACCGTTAAACAACAAGATGAGCGTATCAAACGACATTCATAGAAACACGTAACAGAAAAAGAATTAATGCGTCCTCCGACAAAAATTACTTGAAACTTGTTACTGCAACAGGTTGTCGCTGGCGTATTGTGGATGCACGGATCCGTATGCCCTCGTTTCTACGCCGTTAATATACACATACTTTACAGAACTGGTGTAATAAACATGCCTTCCCTTCAGTTTTACGTTCTCGCCACGTGGAACCGCGATATTTCATTTACTTAAGATCCTGAACACACGGACGACGTTCCAGTCGATACGTGGCCATTTATTAATGGGTGCGCTGTTAAAGCGTGGCAGTTTTCCAATTTCGTGAAGTTCTAGACGTTGCACAGCTATGGCCTGTGTATGTATAAATTGTTAAAGATCGTGAAATCAATTTCGATTTTTTAATAATGGATTGTGAAAGAATTAGAAAGCTTTGAATTTTTCAATTTCCATCTGAATGGCCAGTTTATCATGTGTACGTACAATACGTCTTATGGTTAACAATATAACGTACGTCGATCATGGCAAGCGTCGATTGTAACGCTGTGACTTGGACAGACGCGTATTACACCATACTATTCGCATCACAGAAACGGTGTAGTAAGCGATATCGCGTCATATATGCGGCCATGAAGGCGACATTCAGTGGACAAACGGTTCAACCAAACAGACCTCGATCGATCGTCGTAGACGTGGCAAGTGCCACTTGAATCGTGATGTTCGATCAATAGGATTCGGAGAAATTCGAAAGGAGGACACGAATTAAGACGAATTTTCCTCAAATGGAATTCCAATTTGCAGGAGAAAATTTATACAGGAATGAAATAATTTTGATTAATTTCTTAAACTTTGTTTCTCAGTAAAATAATAATTAATATTTGAACGTTTTAAGGTATTAAATTATATTTCAGTAAAAAATTAATTAACTTCTTTAGGAAATCTATGCTATGCTTGCAAATAATAGATCCAACAAATTCTTTTTGTTCATATTTAATGATTTCGTTAAAGCTCTGAGCTAAACACGTTATGTGTATCTCCTATGGCTAGATATTTAACTTACGTTGATGACATCCAAGTACAAAAATAATTAAATCATTTCAAAGAAAATTTAACTATGTTACTTGATTTAATCAAATAAGGAAATAAGTAGGTACGCTTGCTTACCTTAGATGGAAGACTTTATTATTAAAAGTCAAAGTTATGTATTTGTCAAACAATCTTGACAACTTCTGGAACTCTTCGATGTATATTACTCTATGCGATTATTCGTAGACAAAAAATTCTAGAATTTGAATTGTAAAGTTAAAATTTAAAAAATATGAAAAATATGAACATGTAATAAATATTTGCAGTTTAATGAATACATACAAACAATCCAGTAGTACAAATCAATAATTCAGTCGTCTATAATACCAACACCATACGATGAAGAAACAGCTATAATTAATATCGAAAGGTAAATAAAAGATCGTCGTCATATGAAAGATATACAAAATAAAAGAAAGAGAAATAAATATGGCTCAATAATTACAACGATTGAGCATAATTTTCTTTCAAATAGATCAAGATTTATCGTAAAAGTTTCTAAATTCGAATGAATTAATGATACGCAATTGAAACGATCTAAAATTACACGTTACGTTATATTGTGAGCGTGCAAATTCTATCAGTTAAATTAATTTTGTTGCACTCTGCATTGTCGTTTAATTAAATAAATGGCAACGAACAGAAGTGTTTCGCTCGCTTGTGATTGTATCTGTCACGGACTGAATTATTATTTAAGTTTAATTACCTGAGAATCGGATTACTCATCCTTCGTTGAGGGAAAAATCTATAATACTTGTATTTAATGAGTTTATATGTAATATGGCACACATTTGATTCAAAATTGGATTTATAGTTGATAATTTTAATGTATACGTGGATTTATGCTTCAGATTTGTCTAGATCTTTTTTAACTGAGCTGAGCCACATCTGCTTATCCTCCATTTTTCTCTATTTTATTAAAATCTTATTTTAAAAATCCATCATGTAGGTCACATGAAATTGTAATTCTACGAAGATTAAAACTTACGATGAAGAAAGAAAGGGATTCAAAATAAGCATAGAAACTCGTGTTATATTTAATGCAACAATGAGAAAACTTGGATAGAAGTTTGTAACCAAATAAAAAAATTTTGTTGCTAAACGAGAAATGATTGTTTAAGAATGATCGATATAATTGGTAATAACAAATTGCATTTTGTTTTTAATGTTAAAGAGAATCTTTATTGTCTAATTTTTTAAAATTTATTTCCGTCTATCAGATGTATGTCGCTCGACCTGAAAGAAAAATAATGAATTGTTACAAAAATAAAATTCATAAAAATATTTCATCCAAATGAAAGTTGCTACATTAAAAAATAATTAGTAAGTTCAATTATTACTCTTGTTATTACTTTATTTTAATTGTCACTCTATATACTCTTTAACAATATAGAAATCTTCATTCTCCCATTATATTTGACATCAATTTATTTGAAAATATATTTTATTTTCTTTTTATATTCTTTTTTTCTTTTTTTCTTTTTTCTAATAAAATTACTTGAAATCAACACATTGATACAGTAACAATACATCCTGTTCACGTTACAACTATGAAATCATTATTGATTTCACTGAATCATTTGTTCTGATTTCGATTCAGCATCTATTCTACACGTACATCGTGTTTATACTCTCTTTTCCCTTCCTCCTCTCTCAATCTTTCTCTCTCTTTTTTTTTTTTTGCATATGGTCATCTTTTTTTCTCGCAGGACAACAAATTATACGAAAAAATCCATTGAAACGCTAGCTCCAATACGAAATTATTACACAGTCCTGACCGGAATGATTGAAACATTCCAATTTCTTCGCAAATATCGTGTAACACGATCCTGAAAAACCGCTGAGATTGTCAATCAATTAAGACTGAAGCTATTAATTTTCAATTTACAACGTTGAAACGATATTTATTTCACGAGTAAAAAAATTCTATATTTTTTTCAAGATATCATTTCATTTTTTAACAGTGGCATCAAAGAAAAATGTATGAACTTAGGATGATTTATTCTACTTGTATACAGTTTCATCATTTTCTAAATTTATATAGTTTATTTTCTTTGTTAGATTAAAGTTGTAAATTAGTTATTTTAAAATTAAACCAATTTATTTTTCAAGAATATAAATCGAATAAGACACGAAATGAAACATTAAGATAGAAAATTTAGATCTCAATTGAATTATTTGTTTACTGTTATATTTTTGTTCCAATTAAATTAAACAATCAATGATAATAATTCTTATTACATTTCCGTTTTATTCGTCGAATAAAATTCTCGCAAAATATCAAAAATCAAATTCATTACGGCGCGCATTATACCGATCACGAACACACAGATCTCAAGCTGAGATTCATCAATCACAGGACAAAGCGACGACGTTTAAACGGCGGTGGAACGTCGTCGACTCGACCGCAAAGAAAAACGAATTAGTCAAATGAAGCACGTTTGGCTAATGACGCCAAGTGCAATAAGTAGCACGTGTGTAGTCGCATAGATTTGCGGCTGACACGTGAGGCGTCGCCTGCTTTTGGCACGCAATGTGACACGTGTAACGTATATTTGTCTTGTTGATTCATCGCATTCGAATTACCGTTTTATTCTCTATCTTCTTACGATTACTTTTCCGCCAATTTGTCAGCAACTTTGTTTCTGCCCAATTAACACGAGCTTGAATTACGATTATATACATTGTTGAAA